GACCCTCCACCCGATAGAATGTAGAGCAGATGCTTCTAATTTATACCCGAGCTTAACTTTGATGGAACGTTTCCTGTAAATTGCATTAGGCGAGATGAGAAATATTTCTGGGCTCTTGAAGGAACACGCAAGTGAACTAAATGGCGTCTTATAAATTTGCATGGCAATGTTCTGTAAGTCACGCTCTAAAAACTCCACCGCCGCAGCTAACTCAAGGCTCTGTCCCGATGCAATGTAAATGAAGTCATATGTCTCCCTAGGATCTGTGCTGATTAACCATGCGTTATTTATAAAAGCAAACACACTGATCACACGGGGTTCATGTCCACTTTGCGTTGGCAGCTTTACAGCTGTAATGTGACTTCCAATGGGCTGTTGGCAGTGCCAGTGTAAAGCCTCTGTATGAGATATATGTGTTTTTCTCTACTGCTAGAGGGCCAGATGCCTTTCTGCTGTCTGCGCATATTTAACTTTCTCACCCAGGCATTTAAAGCCCAATGTTTAACCATTTGTGGGGAGAAATGAAGTGCAGGGCAGTGAGCAGGCAGAGATCTGCTTTATCACTTCCACTCGCAGGCATGTTGACTGATCCAGCCCTTGTTGGAGGCAGACTCCTGTAAAGATGCCAATAGTCATCTAGATGTGGCTGAACATGCTGGAACAATCTGACCCCCTACAGCAGGGGGTGGGGAACCTCCGGCCCTCCAGCTGTGGTGCAACTACAAATCCCATGATGCATCTGTCTCTGGGTGTCATGCCCACGGCTGTGAGAATCTTGCAATGCCTCCCGGGATTCAACCCCTGGTCTATGTCTGTCCAGTGGAGATTTCTCTCACTTCCGATGTCCTTCCTAAAGTTGAACATCCTGTTTGCATCCTCCATATTTTTTTATATATATTGTCCACATATTCTCCAAAAATTCCCCATATACTCTCCAAAAATTCCCCATATACTCTCCAAAAATGATGGATATTTTTTGAGGAAAAAATTTGAGACTATATGGAGATTTTGGGGGGAATATATGGAGAATTTGTGGCGAATATAAATATTCTCCAAAAATGCTCCATATATTCTCCAAAAATTTTGGAAACATATATGGCAAATTTTTGGAGTATTTATGGAGAATATAATTATTCTCCATATATTCTCTAAAAACTCTCCATAATTGAGAATTTGGGGAGAATAAATGGAGAATTTTAGACAATATTTGGAGAATATGTTGAGAAAGTTTGGAGAATATATAGAGAATTTTTGAATGTTTGGAAAACATAAGGAGCATTTTTGTAGAATATTTATAGAATTTATTGAGAATATATGGAGAATTTTTAAATGTTTGGAGTATATAAGGAACATTTTTGGAGAATTTATATAGAATATATTGAGAATATTTCGAGAAATTTTGGAGAATTGTTGGAGAATAAAAAATATTCTCCAAAAATGTTCCATAAATTCTCCATAATTCACCAAAAATGCCCCATATATTCTCTAAATATTCTCCAAAAATGTTCCAAATATTCTTCATATATTCTCCAAATATTCTTCATATAGTACCCAAATATTTTCCATATATTCTCCAAAAGTCTCCATACATTCTCTAAAATGTCTCCATATATTCTCTATATATTTCTGAACTCCGCCTTACCTTCAGTCTTGTACAATGTGCATTAGAAGATGCAGCAGGTCAGATGGAGCCCACCTTATTTCCTGGCTGGAGGACATCCAGCATCATTCAGCGCTTTCCTCCCCAGCCTGATTGTCCCTGGTCTGCCCCTTTCATTCATTAGGTTGCAGTTCTTTCAATCACAAATAACACGTAGCCATTAGTTAGGGTGATCTACATGCACTTGCAGCCCAACCTTAGAGTCTCACATGCATTGCATAGAGACCTAGTGATGACATAATTCAGTCTAAAGTAAGGTGTGTTATTAAAATGAGAACATTTTATTTAAAAATGTCATTAGCGTGTTAACAAGGGGGAAAGAAGGAACCAGGGAAGGCAAAAAGTTAAACTTCAGCTTTAAAGGAGAACTATGAGCTGAATGCTTTTCACTCATCCTCATAGTTCTAGCCAACCTGTGACAATGAGACTGTCACAGGTCGGCTCAGTAGATCGAGAAGTGAGCGAACACATACCGGCGTTCGCTCACTTCTCGATCCTGTCACAGCTCTCTGCTGTGACAGGGAAGTGGCTGGATTCCCCCCTCCCCGCTCCAATCCTCCAGCGCTGACTGGCGGAACGGACAGGGGAGGGGGCGGGTACAGCTGGCTCTGTCTCTAGATAGGCAGAGCCAGCTGTCAGTCACGCAGCTGGGCGGATCCAGACATAATTGTCAGGATCCACTTCAGCTGCGGCGTCTCAGTATACCGCGATCTGTAGCTCGCAGTATACTGAGCTTGGGGTGACGGGAGGACGCTAGTTTGTGTCCTCCTGTTACCCTAAGGAGAACTATAGGGAAAAGCCCTAACCCCATAGTTCTCCTTTAAGGGCAGGTTCACACCATTCTCCAGTGCATTCCAGACCAGACAAAATGAGACCTGCAGTATTTTTCTGGTCTGGAACGGTGTGAACAGAGGCCAGAAATAGCATATGGATACATTAGGATGCATTTTGGGTCCGGAAACAATCTGGAGATTATCTGGAGGTGGTGTGAATGGGCCCTAAGTCCACTAGAAGTTTGTGACATTGTCATTAATTCCATAGCAGTTTATCAATATGGAAAATGCATTCCAGAGAGGGGAAAAAGGATGTTCAGGTCACAGCAATGCTCAGAGTGCCACAAAGACAGGAAGTGAGCGTCATTTTCTCCAACGGGACACAGACAGCAACAGGGGTGTGGAATTCCTATCGCCCGACGCCCGGGACATGCAGTTTCGGGCGCCGGGCGAGTAGTTTTTAAGTACATTCAGCCCGGCTCCGGACAAGCAGAGCTGAATGTACATTGTGGAGCCGCCGCCGCTCGTTTACTACAAGTGGTCTGATCAGACCACTTGTATTACTTTGAGAAGCGGCGATCGTTTCTGCCCGCACCCCCCGCCGTAGTTTTCGGGGTCGCCCGCTCTCCCGGGGGACCCCGAAAACTAAGGCACAACTGCTCAGCCATAGAGCCCGTAGAGCAGAAGAAAAACGTTAGTTCTACGGGCTCTCTGTGTGTTCTCTGAGACCGTGGCGCTGTAATCACAGCGCCACCTGTCTCGGCTGTCAGGAACTACACAGAACTTCTGTTCTGTGTTGGAGGGCAGGTTCCATAAAGAGAACCTGTCACCTCCAAACTATCACATAAGGGATTTTAATCTCCTATGTAATAGGAAGAACATTAAGGGGAAAAAGTAAATAAATAAAAAGTTAAAGAAAATGTAAAAAGTTAAAAAAATAAAATATATAAAGATTTAAAAAATAAAAGTAAAAAATGAAAAAGTAAAAAATAAAAATGACAAAGTAAAAAAATAAAAATGAAACCCTGCTGCCCCCGCCATCTGCATGCAAATAAACGCATGCGTAGGACATTCTGCATGTGCTTTGAGATTGCAGCCACCATTCCATGGTGGTAGCCAGAATTCTCTTATACACACACAATGTGCATTAAAGGGTACATTCATTTTCCCAGGTAATATGGAAAAATAAAAATTACCCGATGAAATCTGGCCCTGTCTCTCCCAAACCGCCAGCCCCCTGGCTATACTTACATTTCGGCGAACAATCCCTCCCCTCCGCCAGTATGGGTGTACTATCTGTCCCCCGTACTGCTGTCCAGCGCAGTCCTACCCTATGCATTTTGAATTTCGCTCGCAAATTGCAAGCACTCATTGGTCAACGTGGTCAGATGACTGCGCTGACCAGTGAGAAGCGCTATTTAGCACAGTAAAGCATGTTTTGATTAGGGGTTCACCGATACTAGTATCAGTGCCGATACCGAGTATTTGGGCAAGTACTCGTACTCACCCAAATGCTCCGATACCTTCCCTGATATTGGAACTTACGGCCAGATGAAAATTTTCTCTGACTGGCAGTGCTGTAGGGGAACATGGAGCCAGCTTCCCGTGCAATCAGGAAGCCGTGCGGCAATTAATGACCCGCCTCCTGGTTTTCTGAATGGCCCGGGAAGCCGGCTCCTTGCTGATTGGCTGGAAAGTCGGCTTCCTGGCCAATCAGCATCGAGCCAGTTTCCCGGTCAATCAGGTCATTACTCGCCACCCGGCTTCCTGATTGACCGGGAAGCAGGTTTCCAGGCCAATCACAATCAAGCAGGCCAAACAACATGGAGCCGGATTCCGTGGCAATCAGCTCCATGCCAGCGGAAGCACCGAAAGCAAAAAAATCGGTACTCAAAACCGAAAAACCGGTATTGGTGCATTCTTAGTTTTGATTAAAACTATTTTTTGTATTAGGAAAGTAGATTTGGCCCCCGCTTTAGCCCCTGGACAAGTAGTTTTAAAAAAAAATTCCACACCCCTGCAGCAAGAAAAACCTTCTCATGCACTATCCAGAGCTAAAATATGCTTTGAGTCCATTGTAACCTGGACTCAAAGCTGAATCATCTTGTTTGCAGTATACTAATTATTCTTCTTTTCAATGTTTCTTCCCCGTGTAGTGGTCTGAACTTCATTGATTTGATGGTCCGGCAAGGAAACATTGACAATCCTCCGAAAACACCGCTGGTCCCTGGATTCGAGCTGTCTGGGATCGTTGAGGCTCTTGGAGCCAATGTTACTGGCTTTGAGGTAAAACTTATATTTATGTCAGATTTTATTTGACATGGAAGTGTATCTAAAGCAAAAACGTTTTTTATGATTTGTCGACAGTGGGGAGCAGCTAGAACCCCTGTCATGTTTTTATTCCTATATGAATACAATCATTTTTGCATCCTGCCAGGTTTTGAAGCCCTTCTCCTCATCAATCATAGCCATGTGGCTTTGCCCCACATTTACTGGGGGTTTATACTGCTGCTCTCAGCTCAAAGATAAAAAAGTATTTTTTTTGAGTTTTCACATATACAAATTTTGATGTTGCACGATATTAGCGCAACTTCTTATCAAACCCCGGAATTTTGTGAAAATTGCACTTAAATGCCCCAAAACACAATAAAATACCCATTTTGTTTTATAAAATATAAAAGATGAGGTTACAACGAGTAAGGGGGGAAAAAAAGCCTAGTAGGATGTGTTAGGGGTGGGTGGGAGGATGGTAAAAATATTTTTTTTGAGTTTAGTTCTGCTTCAACAAAATTGTTACAGTCCATTTGTGAATGAACACTGCAAAGACTGTTTGCAGAGTTCATTCATACAGGAACAGCTGCCAGTGCCCCTGAGACAGTGGACAGGCTGCCTCACTTAACCACTGAGGCCCCATAGCAGCCACAAAGGTTATTATGAGGGGGATTCCTGACCCCCGAAATGTGTTAGCTGTACATATCTTCTTGTTGTCAGTTGTGAAGCCCTTAAAGGTTCTTTGGACTATTGAGTCAATTGTCAGGCAGTCTTCATTCACATGTATTTCTCATTCTGGGTGTCCACTCCCTCTGAAGGCCCCCCCGTTTTATGAAAAGTTACTGGAATTGAGCCATAAGGCTATCAAATGTTGCTCCTATGCAACTAGAGAAAGCTTGTGCTCCAACACCTCATCCCCACTCCCCATTAGATGAGGGTTACTATGGCAGTAGATGTGCCCTAGTGTAGAATTCTTTTTTTTTCACACTCATAAATGCAGAATTGCTTCCTTTGTGTATAAACAATGTTGTGTGTCAGCGGCACTCTAAATTATGCATGGTATCATTATTTATTTTTCCAATTTAAAACGCTCAACAGGGAGAAAATTGCTTTAATTATTCATTGTTTCCTAAATTGCCATTTGGCTATCCAAATATCTTTTTAGATTGACTTCTCTAATATTTTAGACTAAAGCTGTTGATGTAATTAAAGTAAACCTATCACGACGGGAATCCATTGACTGGAATTACAGACCTGCTGAAAATGCTGCCTGTTTGTTAGGCTAAGTCAATGGGTTCAATCATTTTAAGAGGAACGCCAAAAAACTGCATGCTTGTTCTTCGGCATTAACTTAAAGTATTTTAGCAAGTGGGTCAGCATGGCAGCCAGGCATTTTCAGGAGAGAATAGCAATTGCATCCTCAGATTTCCTCTCCATTGCTCCCCAAAATATGCAGTGCTTCTGGGTATGGTGGAACATGTGACCTCCAATTGTCTCAACCCAAGAGCTGTCCCATGAAGCTGGTGCGATGTCACTGTTCCCTTTTAGCGATCAAATTAACTTGCACCAGGTATGTTGGTGGAGGCTATGACAAAGGAAGAAGCTGTGCCCTCATCCATCTGACCAACCGCTCAGTGTCTGTACCCCCCCTCTGTCAATCCCTACACTGGCTTCCACTCGCCCAAAGGATACAATTCAAAATATTAACAATTACTTATAAAGCCATTCACAACTCTGCCCCCAGCTATATCTTAAACCTTGTCTCAAAATATTACTCTAACCGTCCACTCTGCTCATCCCAAGCCCTGCTTTCCAGCTCCCTTGTCAACTCCTCCCATACTCGCCTCCAGGACTTCTCTAGCATCTCTCCCATCCTCTGGAACTCTACCCCAACCTGTCCGTCTATCTCCCACCTTGACTGCCTTTAGACGTTCCCTAAAGACTCATCTCTTCAGGGAAGCCTATCCCACCTCAACCTAACCACTGAACCATCACATTCTCAAACAATTCATCCCCACACAGCTACCTCCTCATGCATCATTTCCCCCTCCTCTTTAGATTGTAAGCCCTCAGGGGCAGGGCCCTCCTTACCATCTTGTCTTGAATTGTATTGAGATTGTAATGTCTTCCTCAGTCTAAGGTGATCAGGGAGTGGTCTTTACTACATTGTCATTGTGCCTTGAACAAGTGCAGTTTCAGAGAATAAACAAAATCAAAGCTGAAATCTGGGAACTTAAAAAACATCCTTGTAGTGGTCCCTGCACTCCCACCTTTCCCCTATGCTGCATATGTAAATGCTTGTTTTTGCCTAGGGGTAGAGAAATAAGGTGTACTAGTTACCTTATTCCCTACTCCAGCAATTCCCAGTGCTCCCCTTTTCTTCCTGATGCTCCGTGTTGTGGGCAGGCCCTCGCCATCCTCATTTACAATGCAGGGCTATTGACCCTGCATTGCATGTGGAGGAGGGGGGCATTCAACCACCAGCCGGGAGCACTTCAGGGGCTGGTCACACAGAGGGCCTTCCTGAGCGAGGAATAAGGTAAGTATTACAGCTTATTCCTCTACCCCTAGGCAAAATTGAGCATTTAACCCTTTTAATATGGGTCTTCCCCCTCTAAGGCCATTTTTTTTTTTTGTAATCCTGGTATATTTAGCTTTAATCATTCAACTTGACAAGAAACAATGAAGCCATGATAAAATGAAAAAGAACAGAGTGCTCCTTACATGGAGGGGGTTACTGTGCTTCCTGCATTCTGTGCTGCCTTCTTTGCCAGTCAGGTTTAAAGGTCAAGTCAGGTTGAAGTCTGATTAATGTAGACAAAGTAAATTGTGGTGTACAGATCCTGAGTATTGGGGTACCAACCCCTGGTATTACTGAAGTCTGATTAATGGTTGTGAAGAAGTAACCTCACCAGTACCTCAGGTTTTCTGTATGTTGGAAACAGGACAGGTTCAGGAACATCTCTCGAGCATTGCTCCAATAAGCCACAGACATTCTCAGATCACCAACTAAAAACAGTGTTGCGGATCCCACCCTACTATAAAAAATGTGATTATTGTCCTTAGCCATAGTCACAAAAGGAACAGCTACTACTGTTCTTTCTATTTAATAAATCAGTGCTCTGCAATAAGAGTGTCATGAGAACTCACTATATAAAATGTTTATTTGTAAAAGAAAGATTTCCCATAAATGTACAAAAAAGACATAGAAAAGGTTTTTTGGTAACCGGGTACATGTCAACGGGGTCATAATTCAATGGAATCAATCCTCTGATAGCTAACTAAAAGCCTTTGAGCCTCAAAATGTGTCATTGCTATAGTGAGCTGCATGTGGGACTCTTTAAAGAAAAGGTATGCTGATATCAATTAATAACCTGCCACTGCTGGCGTCTTCTTCTGAACATGCTAGTTGCCTGTTTATCATTTTGATCCGGTAGCTGTATTGCTTTTCTTAGAGTCCGTGATCTGGAACAGGAGTGGAGATCAAAAGTTCTGATTTTAACTAAAATTATAGTCAAATTATAAAGTCACATACTGTATATGATGTAGTCTGCCCATACCAGTACCCCTGGAATAATTTGTAAATACCTGTTGATCCTGCTAGTAAAACCATTGAATAGGCACTTCATTTGATAGAGTAATAATGCTCTTGCTTCTGCATTGAAATCATAACGTGTTTTTACCATTGCTGCTGCTCTAGCTGCTTAGATGCTGTGATAGCCTTATCTGTACATAGTCACCCCTAGCTTCATCCACAGCTCTTTAGATTGACAGCACATTGCTCAATGTGCAGGAGCTTAGGGAAATTATGTAAAAGCTCTGCTCATTCCCTACCACCCCCTCCAGGAGAAATCCAGCATCCAGGCTGCATTAACTGATAAAAAAGAGGTAAATTACATTTCTGTTCAAAGGATTTTACATGCCAGCTCGCATTAAAAATGTCTGCTTATCACTCTAAGATGAAGAAAACTAGAGGCTTTAGATGGACATTAAAGCTGAACTCTGGGCACATAAACATGGATTTAAATATATTTATTTATAACCGCAAAAGATATAAATTCACTTTGTGAGCACTAAATGCCTTTACAGACCTAGTTATTACATCATCACTATGCTGTGCATAGCCTGTACAGGGAGCAGAGCTGTGGGAGGGGCCCAGCAGGTCATCCTACTAAAGACTGATGGTAGAAAACTACAGGAGGGGGGCGGAGACAAGACCAGTCACCAGCAGTGACCAGTCTTTATTACAGGAAGCTCCTGCACAGAGGCAAAGTGTCACAATGGATTACTGCACACATCTGAAAGAAAAACACAAAACACGCCAAGATTCAAGTAAGAATACACATTCAGCTTGTATTTGGACAATATTTGCTTATCCCGGAGTCCAACTTTATTTCACTGTTTCATGCACATATCTAAATGAGCCTCTAAGCCCTACCTTTACATCCGAATCTTGGGCCATTATCATGGGCAAAACTCTGACACTTTCTGGAAGTGTCCAATCTTGCCCATTCTTTCACACTTTTCCATTAGACAGTCATTATTATTATGAGCTGCCTCACTGGCCAATAATAGCCTTGGCACTACCAGAAAGATTCCATTTTGGAAATGTACAGTTGACACTGCAAGGGTTGAGTGCTCATTTTGTCCAGGGTCAAATAAAGTCATTTTACTCACCTGATCCCGGCTCCCCTGGCAGTGAGCACTCAGGACGCTGAGGGAATGGCCTTCAGTGTCCTCATGTCTAATGCAAGTCAAAGGATCTGCATTAGACATGATGACGCAGCAGTCCTTAGACCACTGGAGCCCAGCGGAGAAGAGGCTGGGGGAATGGTCTAGAAGCCTGGTGGGACCGAGTATCAAGTGAGTATATCTTCTTTACTTGAACCCCATAGACCAGCCTTTGTCAACCAGTGTGCCGTGGCACCCTGGGCACCTTCTGGCTTTTTTGGGGTGCTTGAAATCTTGGGATGGTAGGACTCTGATATGAAGGGTCACTGAGAACTCTGATGTGAAGTGGGGACTGAGGACTCTGATGTGAAGGGGGCTCCTGATATGAAGGGGGAGGACCCCAGATGTGAAGGGGAGACTTTGATGTGAAAGGGTAACCCCACTTTTTTGTGTTTTTGCAAGGGGTCACCCCTTAAATTCATCACATTTTACACTGGAGGGCCTCAAGCTTTTTCGGGGTGCTTGAAATCTTGGGATGGTAGGACTTTGATATGAAGGGTGGCTGAGGACTTTGATGTGAATGAGAAAACTGATGTGAAGGGGGCTTCTAATATGAAGGGGAAGGATTCCAGATGTGAAATGGGGGACTTTGATGTGAAAGGGGAAACGCACTTTTTTGTTTTTTTGCATGGGGTCCCCCCTTAATTTCATTGCATTTTAGACTGGGGTTCCTAGAGATTTTTCGGGGTGCCTTGAAATCTTGGAATGGTAGGACTCTGATGTGAAGGGGGGACTGAGGACTCTGATGTGAAAGGGGGACTTTGATGTAAAAGGAGAAACCCACTTTTTTGTGTTTTTGCATGGGGTCCCCCCTTAAATTCATTACATTTTAGACTGGGGTGCCTTGAGTTCTTAACCTCTGCAGTGCGGGGGCAGCCCCATTGCAAGGGCAAGTTTTAAAAATGATTATTCCTATAAGACGACCACCATTATGAGCTGCCTCGCTGGCCAATAGAAACACATAGAAAGCAGCAAAGCGTGGACAAGCCTTGACACTACCAGAAAGGTTCCATTTTGGAAATGTACAATTGGCATTTATACCTTTTTTTTTTTAATAATGTGTATGAAAGAAGAACTGTCTGTGCTCCAATCTGTTTGCCAGCACTGGTTAGACAACGGAAGGGGGGACGCTTATTGGTGGTTAACGAGGAAACTCTTCATTAAAACATTTCCCACATGACGCCGTTTGTTGTAATTCAGAAAATATTTGCTTTGGGACTCTGCACAGTGAAGCTTGTCAATAAATAAGTCTTCTTAGTGATTAAGTTGTCTCATTACCATCAGTGTAAAAGTCTCTGCTAGACCATCCGGTAATCAGGCAGAATAAAGGAGCTCGGAGAACTGGCGGTAATTAAGGGAGACGCAAGAGTAGACACCGGGCGAGCCTTCTTCAATTATAATTAAAGTCAGGGTTGTGTGTTGCAGGGATAAGACATCTTCCTTCTCCATGGCAACCTTCCTTGGCAAAATGAACTGCGGCTGTTCACGGCAGGACGGGTAATTAAAAACGTGACCACGGAGCACATTTGACCTTTTTACTGCAGCGCAAACAAGGGAAAGCGCCATCATGATCTTTTCTGCTGCTCAGAAGTCAAGTCTGTAATCCTTTGTACAATTAGACTGGTGCTGCTTGAATAAAGATGCATCGATCGCAACAAATGAGACACTGATAGAGACACCTTTAGCCGGTGCAAATACTCCGGGAGGCATAGGAAAAGAATACAAATAGACAATGAACACGTCCCCGGATTGTAGACTTATTATAAGGCTCTACTCCAGGAGGATATCAAAACACAAATTACTGCAGCAACGTGTTCATTAAAAAGAACTCTGGGAATTTAAAAATGTACCCTTGCACTGGAGCTACCCCTGTACTGCAAGGGTTAGGCGCTTATTTTGTCTAGGGGGCTCAGATAAAGCTGTATTACTTACCTGATCCTCGGTGACCCAGTCAGCACTCACCTCTTTCCCCCTCCACTGCGGCTTTGAAATATCCCTCAGCATCCTCCTATCTAATGCAAGTCAATGGACAAGATGACCTCAGCGTCCTTAGAGGAGAAGAGGCCGCCCAAAACAGTCTAGCAGCCTGGCAGGACCAAGGATCAGGTGAGTATATGTGCTTTATCTGAGCCCCCTAAACAAACCAAGCACTTAACCTTTGCAGTACAGGGGTAGCCCCACTGCAAGGGTCATTATTATTATTATATATTTGTTTATGCCGCCAGTGTACATACCATGATCTGGTATCTGCCTCCTGCAGCTCAGACTGGAAGAAGGAGAGACAGCTCAAGGAACCAATCAGTTTTGCTGCACTGTTTATATGCTAGCAAGGGACATGCTGATAGGAAAAGAGAGCAGTGTGAATAAGAGATGAGCTCAGCGAACTGCTGCTTCGCGTTTCACTGCCTGGGTACAGGCTGTGGAAGGGACAATACCTCTAAGTGTTACTTAACTGTAGCAGATAGAATATTGCCAGAGCTGTGAAAATCTCAGGACTGGGTGCACAGAAATACTAACTATTTGGCAGGTAAAACAACTCCCATACACTGTATGTAATTTATCTACCTGTTCATCTATTTTCCTTGGGTTCAACTTCAAATATTTAATCAGTATTATGTTTTATAAAAGGCAGTGGTTTAATTATAGCCCATGGGCTCTGGTGTCTGTGTATATCCTGTGCCAAAATCCTATCCCTCCTGGCCGGGCCTTCACAGTAGAGTCCCATAGACTTCTAAGGGGATTGTCTACATTTGTCTTCAGGCAGGGAGATGAGTCTCATAGACTTCTAAGGGCCTTGTCTACCTTTGTCTTCAGGCAGGGAGATGAGTCTCATAGACTTCTTTGTGGCTTGTCTACCTGTGTCTCCTGGCATGGAGATGAGCCAAATAGACTTCTATGGGCTTGTCTACCTGTGTCTCTTGGCAGGGCCCCATAGACTTCTATAGGGCTTGTCTACCTGTGTCTCCCGTCAGGGAAATGTGCCCTATAGACTTATATAAGGCCCGTCTACCTTTGTCTCCCAGCAGGAATATGAGCCAAATAGACTTTGGTGGGGGTTGTCTACCTGTGTCTCCTGGCAGGGTGATGTGCCCCATAGACTTTTATGGGACTTATCTACCTTTGTGTCTCTGCAGCGAGAAGAGCACCATAGACCTCTGTAGGGCTTGTCTACCCTTGTGTGCCAGCAGGGAGATAACTCCTATTGACTTCTAATGGGCTTGTCTATCTGTGTCTCCAGCAGGGAGATGAGCCCCATAGAATTCTATAGGACTTGTCTATCTTTGTCTCCCAGCAGGAAGATGAGCCCCATAGACTTCTATAGGGCTTTACTGCACCGGCGTGGCCAGGAGAGAGTGGGGAATGCATTGAACTGACTATGCTGACAGCTCTCCTGCTACGTGCCCTTGATTTAGGCATGCTTTGTTAAAATCAATGATGGCCACTGTTCTCCGGGGGACATGGAAATTCTACTATGGGGCCCCTTAAATTTTAGTGACACCCTGATAAAGATTCTGTAAAATGTTTCTGTTTAGTAAAACGAAAGGAATTGAAGGGAAAATATTTTGGTTATTGTCAATATTACTATTGGTTTTTTTTTTTCCACAGCTAAATATTTATTACAGCTGACACACATTAAAAAGATCCCCAGAGAACTATGGGTTTCTAAAAACAGTAGATCAGAAGGTTTTTCCCTGTATTTCTCTGTATCTGATTGAGACCTCCTGACATGGCAGTGGAGAGGATTAAAAAACACGTGACCCCTTTGTATCACTGGTCTGCAGGTAACCAATTTGTGTTTTTTTTTTACTCCAGATTGGGGACAGAGTTATGGCATTTGTCAACTACAATGCATGGGCAGAAGTGGCCTGCACCCCTGCAGAGTTTGTCTATAAGATCCCAGATGATATGAGCTTCTCCGAAGCAGCTGCCTTCCCTATGAACTTTGTCACAGCCTATATGATGCTATTTGAGGTGGCCAATCTCCGAGAAGGAATGTCCGTCCTTGTCCATTCTGCTGGCGGAGGAGTGGTAAGTGATAAGTTTACCTATTAGCAAGATTTGAGTTATTGCCATGATCTATCTGTTTGTATGAGAGGCTACCCTAGAAAGGTTTAAAGAAGAAGCTTAGGCAATATATAAACAAATACCCAAATGGGCTCTCTAATAATGTTGGTTAATTTTCTTTAATTTACAAAAAAAATCTCTAAAATCATACCTTCTTCTATGTGGTCAGGTGACCACAAAACCTCCTTGAAGGTCCTTTTCTTTCAAACAGGGGGTGGAGATTTGCAAGATTATTGATGTCAAGGCTGCACTTGCTCAGATCCTCCAGACCCAATAATAGCGCAATAGTGGTAGAGGCCATGCATGAGCAGCTGAGGGAGCCTGCACACACGTCAGGAGCCAGACAGTAGAAGTGCATATGCACACTGGCAGCGCATATTCTAGCTACCGACAACGCTTATGTGATTAGCTCTTGGCAATGGCTGAGTTGCGTTGTCAGCCTTGCACCCAAAATCAACATATTAGGAGTGGAAAGGTAGAATCACCATGTAATATTGTAACATTTAATTTATAATTTGGCATAGTAGGAAGATGCAAATACACTGACGGCCAAAAAAATCACCACCTGGATTTAGTTAAGCAAAGAGGTTAACGCCTTCAATTGGATAAGTGTTATGATCTTGGGTTGCTTCAGTTGGTCATGTCTATGTTCAGCAATGTTATGTCCACAAAAAATGAGGTCAGCTGCCTACCTGAATATACTGTATGACCAGGATTTTCCATCAATGGATTTTTTCTTCCCTGATGGCACAGGATGACAATGCCCGGATTCATCGGGCTCACATTGTGAAAGAGTGGTTCAGGGAGCATGAGACATAATTTTCACACATGGATTGGCCACCACAGAGTTCAGATCTTAACCCTATTCAGAATCTTTGGGATGTGCTAAAGAAGACTTTACAAAGTAGTCCGACTCCCCCATCATCACTATAAGATCTTGAGGAAAAATGATTGTTAATGCACTCTGTTGTGACATTGCATAAGCTTATTGAAACAATGCCACAGTGAATGTGTGCCATAAATAAAGCTAAACGCGATCCAACAAAATATTAGATTGTGCAACCATGTTTTTTTTTGATGGCCAGGCAGTGCATTTAGGATTAATTAACCCTGTGTAATTACGCTAAGAAGAAGGAACCCTAACCCGACCAGCCGCAACAATGTGTGGTTTCAAAACCTGAGTGATACAAATAGCAAGTGTGTTGCGCTAGGTCTATGAAATGTCATAGACCTAGCACAACACACTTACTATTTGTTGTGTATTTAGGATACCTTTCAAAAGTATAGTTTTTAATTGTTGCCTGAAGAGACACTTTAAACCTTTCCCATGCACTGTATGAAAAGTTGATATCTGTGACTCTTCAGCAAAGCATGGGATAAAACACTACACTCCTCTGGATGCATGAGTCTAAGGCTGGCCATACACTGCTCTATGCAGTGGGTGCAGTGCCCCAAGGAAACATGGAGCCAGCTTCCTGATTGGCCAGGGAGCCGGCTCAATGCTGATTGGCTGGGAAGCCGGCTTCCCAGCCAATCAGCATCGAGCAGGGCAAACAGCATCGAGCCGGCTTCCCGGGCCAATAAGGTAGCTGGTTGCTTGGAAATGACCCGCCTCTCGGCTTCCTGATTGGCCGGGAAGCATGCACGATGCTGATTGGCTGGGAAGCCAGTTTCCCGGCCAATCAGCACGAAGCCAGACAAAACGCATGTAGCCCGCTTCCCAGGAAATTAAGAAGTCGGGCTTCTTAATTGCCCGGGAAATTGGCTCCATGCTAGCAGAAGTACCGAAATATAAATATTGGTACATGTACTCGATAACAAATTATTTAATATTTGCTTAGAGCAGAACAACAGGTAAAAAATTTATTATCCTGTCAGTGGGGCTAACCTAGCACTGCAAGGGTTAAGTGCTAACTTTGTTGGATCGCCTCTAGCTTTGATTAGGGCACACATTCACCTTGACATCATTGCAATAAGCTTATGTAATGTCACAACATGTATTTCCATCCAGAGTTGCATTCATTTTTCACCAAGATCTTTGTGGCCAATCCATGTGTGAAAATGATGTATCATGCTCCCTGAACTACTCATTCACAATTTGAGCCCGATAAATCCTGGCATTGTCATCTTGGAGTATGTCTGTACCATCAGGGAAGAGAAAATCCATTAGTGGAAAAACCTGGTCATTCAGTATATTCAGGTAGGCAGCTGACCTCATTTTTAGGGCCCATAACATTGCTGAACCTAGACCAGACCAAGTGAAGCAACCCCAGATCAAAACACTGCCCGAAATCTTGGTGGTGGCTTTTTTGGGCAGTGTATTTCTTTTGTTTTTTGTAGACAAACGAACCTAAAGGCTCCTTTAATCTTTTTACCGCCATCCCAACCACAAAGCCGTCGCAAGTAACTGTGTCTGAATGAAATGCGCTGATCTTAATTCTACAGAACACATTCTCATTCTTGTCATTCCATAGAACGTATAATGAGGTTTAGGAGGTTATTTCTTTGCTGTGGATAATAACGTGGAGAACAATGCTTAAGCATACCAGAGTTATTAAACCTTTCGGATTATGTGTAAACAATTGAAAGTGAATACCATAGTTGAGAGAGTGCTGGACATCAAATGACTCTCCTTTACTTTCATTTATATTAATTAGCTCTGTAAATACTCATTCAGGTTTTTTTTTTAATCAGAGCAGCAGTTTTGAGGAAATAGGGCATGCACAAATCTCTCTAATGGTAATAAATATTGACCAAAGCCATGTAAAGCATGTCTTCACGTTTCAAATAGCCCAGCTCAATCTGCCCAATATATTTTAAAGCTGAACTCCAGCCGTCCCTTCTGTCTTTCAGAGTTGCACAGTCTTCTGTCCAATACTAAAATGTCTTACTCTGCACGCAGTGTTCAATAGAAGCCGCAAATCAAATAAAGCCTGATTCATTTCTTCATCATCTAGCACTTTCCTTCCCAGCCTTACTTTCCCTGGCCCGCCCCTTTCCTTCATTAGATTTCAGATCTTTCATTAATGGAGGCTCAATATCACATGTGGGGGTTATCTGCATGCAAATGCAGTGAGCCTAGGGATTCCCACTCCCTCAGACTGACATCCAGTCATTAAGGCATTTTGATATTTGCATAATTCCTCCCAAGAGCCAGCCCACTACTTGAGTCAGGACTGAGGGCTCTTGAAGGGAGTACTGAAGCAGAGTGCTGTGATGTTTTCAAGAAGCTATGTACAGCACCCTGCCGGCCCCTCCCTCCAGCCAGGACCTGTCTGCATTGCATGGAGAAGCACAGAGTGATGATGTCACTTGATCAAAATATAAGGTATGTATCTAAAAAATAAAAGGTTTTTATTTAAAATAATCAATTAGCATGTTAGTCAGGAGGAAAGAAGGAACCAGGAAGGCGAAACATAAACAGATTGAACTTAAGCTTTAAAGTAGCCCCACCAAAAAACTTTTTTGACAGTTTAGATTTAAAGTGACATTAAACCCTCAGATTTTTTAAACATAAACCAATACTGTAATGTGTGCCTTACTGTAATCCATGGTAGTTTCCCTTCTCTTTGCTGCTCTTCATTGTAAATACTCATGTCTTCGCATGCTGGGGGAGAACTTCCCTTTGCAGCTGAGTGCTTCTTCCTGTATTGCTGGCTCAGGTTGCAAACCTATACACAGACACCATGTATCCATTCCAGAGACAAGGCAGTCTGCTGCAAAACAGAAGTTCTGCCCAGCATGAGAACAGATACAGATTTAAAAGGAAGAGCAGCAAAGAGAAGGGAAACAACCATGGATTACAGTAAGGTACACATTACAGTATTGTTTTATGTTAAAAAATCTGAGGGTTTAATGTCACTTTAATAGGAAAAGGGATAGAGACTCTGGTTTTATTGCATCTTTGTCCCCATTGGGGTACATATCCGTAAGGACAGGAAGGGAGAGGAAAGGTTGCCAATGAAGGTACAGGCTGAAAGAAATGTTTTAATTTAGGATAAAGTAGGGAAGAGATAGAATGTTGAATGTCCTCTCGCTTCCTATGTAGTTATCAGGAAATTATGTTTGGCATCATCTCAACGGGGACATGGACTTCAGGAAAAACACCAATTTGTGAGAAAGAGATAGAATGTCTCTTGGGTTTTTATCTCTGAATCCAGGTTGGGGAGATCCCCCATCCCTTCCTGTATTGGAGACCACATAAGAAGTGAGGCTAATTCTCTGCAATATGGATAAAGATGAGAATAAAACCCAACATAGATTCTAGGGGTGCAATAGGTATTGATACTAGTACAGGTGCCGATACAGAGTATGTGGGCAAATACTAGTACTCGCCCAAATGCTCCGATACCTTCCCCGATACCGGAACTTCCAGTCAGAGGAAAATTTTCTCGGACCGGCAGTGCCGTGGGGAAACGTGAAGCCAGCTTCCCAGGCAATATGGAAGCTGGGTGGCGACTAATGACCTGATTGGCCAGGAAGCCGGCTCCATGCTGATTTGCTGTAAAGCCGGCTTCCCGGCCAATCAGCATCGGGGCAGCTGAACAGAGTGCTCTTCTCAGCCCCATGTCCATAATAAGGACTGCAGCAATATCTCCCGGCTGGAGCTCCTTATGTTGCCTATACACAATTTTAGAGCAGTTTCTATAATTTACAACCAGCTGTCAATTGTTGACCGACAGTTCTCATTTGTCACAGTTTCCATGTAAAATGTTGATAATTATCTGCATGAATCTGTTGCATTTAGTCCAAAAGCTGATTGAGAGCAGTTATAAATGCCTGAAAATGTTTTTGTGTAGGACCAGCATTGGAGAAAACAAAATCCAGTAAGTTGACCAACTACCTCCATCTGATAAAAACTGGGCTGTTACTTTTGGATCACCTGGTCCTTAAATCATTTATAAAGAGAACATTTATATTTGCCCGTACATATATTGTGCTATTTTAATCTTAAACCTGTACATCTTACTTTTTTTTTTTTAGGGACAAGCAGTGGCACAGCTCTGCTCAACCCTTCCCAACGTCACAGTTTTTGGAACTGCTTCTGCTTTTAAACATGAGGCCATTAAAAACTCCGTCAATCATCTCTTTGACAGAAACGCAGATTATGTGCAGGAAGTAAAAAGGTAAGATGACGTCTTCCTGTGCTTTCCTTTATCTCTGTTTGTGATGTCTGGACTGTTACGTACTACAGCAGCACATTGACTCTTAAAGAACTGGCTGATCTTGCCATATGATGGTAAAGCATTCTCCTCATGCACTCTTTCAATGAACGTGAGCTTTGCCCAACAGGCTCGACTAAAACTGAACTGCAGGCAAAACACTAAATACACAGATGAAATACATATTAGGGAGCCAAAGGATTTGTATTTTTGTCCATCCAGTCTCAAGCTTTACACAATTCTAACACACGTCCTGCAGGGGAGGGGACCTGATTTTCCTCTGCTGCTGTTCAAAATTGCCGATTCTCCCCATGCAGAATATATGTGACAAGCCACAACCAGTATCCGCAGTAGCTATATTTTTTATCCTGTACAAATCAATAGCCGTCACTGCCGCTGTTTGCATGTAACCACTCGAATGAGCAATTACATGTGATTAGGGCTCCTGACCTATCTGTGTCCAGGGCTGGTGTTCCCTATCGCATACAAACTGGACAAAGCTAATCATTCAGTCTGATTGTGGAGCAGCATAGCAGAGTGCTGCTTTCAGCCGCAGCAACAGCCTAATTTCCCATGTAAATAAGGCCATATAGAGTTAGGAATTCATGTACTATTTCTTTTTTTCTTTAAAGAATAAAGTTTATTCAGTTTTACAAACAAAGACAAAAAAGAAAGCAATAATACATGTGTATACAGTAAACCAACCAGATGCATTGAGATTGGGGGTGCACAGCTCTGTTTGATACAATGTGGCCTTGAAGGCAGAATAGGTACAAACGCAATCATATACAAAGTACAAGGAATGATGAAAAGGATCATGAAGAGATGTGGAGAGGTCGTTGGCTTGTTCCAAATCGTTCCTATTTATTATGGCCACTTTGCACAAGCTTCGCCATCTGGGTGCACTGTGGGTGCAGACAGGTAGCCCTTCCATGCTCCACATGCCACATTGCTGTTGAAAGGAAGCGCTTCGTGCCATTGATATCACCATAGAAAATGTTTATTCAGATGCAACAGCTTTTATGATGCCATCCCCGCCTCCAGATCGGATGCCTCTCTGGCGCGCTTTTTCCAACCGGCTGCAGTCACTGTTTGGTCAAGATTTTTCGAAATGGCTCCATTGATTGAAAAATCTACTTTTGTGCAAGTGGGGGTGCCACAGAATTTGTCTGAAATTTGACCAGTGTATGGCCAGCTGTACAAATGGTGGAAACAAAGGCATTTAGCCTAGGCGGCCAATCTGCCCCTATGAGTTCTCCAGGGTCCTGAAACTGTGCTTATAGACATTTTCAGTACTAGGGGGGCTAAATGTCACTTCTTTTTTAACATTAGTAAGTAAAAATCAAAAATATAACAGTGTGCCCCTTCCCTCTGAGAACAAACTGGCCAGGGATCAGGAGTGGTGGCTGGTATACACATAGAAAACCTTCTTCCTCCAGTGCTGAATGGCATGCAGACTGGTAACCCAATAGTATAGGTCAGGGGTAACCAAACTCCGACCCTCCACCTGTGGTAAAACTACCAATCCCATGAGGCATTGCAAGATTCCCACAGCCACAGGCATGACAGCCAGAGACAGATGCATCATGGGATTTGTAGTTTTAGCACAGCTGGAGGGCCGGAGTTTCGTTACCCCTGGTATAGATGTTCAACGCGCGCCACTTCTTTGCTATGGGGATACCAGCCTGCATGCCTAATGTGCTGGTCTGTTTAGTTCTTGGAGGGGATACAGCGCAGCCCTGTCTGGCAGGGGAAAAACAGACTTTTCTCTGCTGCAGTTAAATAACATTTATAGCCTGTGACTGGACAGTGAAAGGAAAAGCAGCAGACTGATTATCTCATCTCTCTGCTCACTCCTCCTATTAGCATTATTCTGGCTAGTGCATCAACAATGCAGCACAACTGCTCATTGTGCTGCTTCTCCATTTTACTGTCTAAGCTCTGCTGTATGAGAAAATTGGAAGAGGCTGATATCAGATAAAGTTTAGGTACTTGTGCTATTTGAATTAAAAACAAATACTATTGATTTATTAATGAATACAGATCTGCAGTGATCAGTGTATTTTATATCTGCCTGGAGATCAGCTTTTAACGTTCACCCAAAAAGTTTGGCCGAATTGCCCAATTAATTTTTGATAAATAGACCCAATAGAATGTGTTATATACACTTACCTCTCCAATACATGGTAAATATTATGTATACTTTTGATAATAGATTAAACAACATATATCTTTTCCAGAATCTCACCTGAAGGTGTAGACATCGTTCTTGACTGCCTATGTGGGGAAAACACTGGAAAAGGCATCAGCCTCCTGAAGCCGCTCGGAACGTATATTTTATATGGTTAGTTGTATTTTGTTTGCTATGCTATATGTATCTGTTTAATGATCTTATGATTAAGTTTATTTAGGATGTGTCTCAAACACTGCAACCACAATGTAAAATCAGTTCACAATGTATAATCAGTCCATCAGTCCTCCTGTAGGCGGCAGTATAACCTAAAGGGTAAATACTTTCTGTATCTCACTTCGTGTTTGGTAAGATGTTGTCTAGAGAATAGAAAGGGAGAGAAGCTCTCTAATGGAGCCCTGGAGAGCATTAAACCTAATCTTGGTCCATTCTATCCAAAACTAGAAGAAGAAGAAAATAAACGTTTGGGGCATAGATACACTATATTACAAAAAGGCCTGTGTGGTCATTATTTCAGTCATGTTAATGTGCTTTCTAACAAAATTTAATTTCCCCTTAAGCAAATTCTGCAGGCAGTATTTTAACAAATTAAAAGCAAGCAAATTAAAAGAAGTGTATTATTTAGCATGTGGATAGGATCAGGATCATTTTTCTTTAGTGTCTTTGATGTTACAGTCTTACAAGAATAATTATTTTCATACAGCAAGATGCAAGCACGCACCTACCTGCCCCACATACACACTTTATGATACCGTATAATCCATGGGGAATAATTGTACAATTAACAATGTATTCATTTCCATTTCTGCTGTCTTTGCATAATTATCACATACAGCACGTCCCTCTCATTGACTCTCCCACTGCTGGAGCTTACTTTGCTGGTTTCTACACAGTTTACAGGATCATGATGGAATGCTGTGTTCTATTTTTTTTTACCATTCACCATGGCATTCAGGTTGGATAACTCAGGGGGTTATTCACTATTGAGCCAAAGGATTAAGACGAAGCATCAGCTAATGCTTAGGCTCAATTCGGCCGCCAGAGCCCTCCAGTTCAGCCAAACCCAAGGGCCCCTGTACGGCTATTCACAATAGCCCATACAGCAGCCGAACGACTCAGCCGACCTGAATGTATATGTTTCGGGTCGGCCGAGCCTACACGCGAATGTAAACAACTTAATGACAACTGGGCGGAGCCAGCGTCCCATTGCGGCTGACTCCGCCCATTTATTTTGATTTGGCCGACCCATATGACAGGTGACGGCCAAATAAAAACAAACAGGCGGCGCCAGTGTTTTGCCGACACCCATCATACAGGTCATTTTGCGGCGGGAGTTTGTCTGGTGCGGATGGGTCGGCGGGTGGCGGTTTTTCTTTTTATTTCGACGAGTTGTCATGGACAACGCTGGACGTCGTGATTGACCTTAGGATTGCATCAGTGGAGCACTTTTGGGGATTTTTTTTGGGGGGGGGGAACCCTATGCATTATTTTTTTTAACTTGGGGTCCCTCCTAACTTTCCTATCAGACCTAAAGGGTCTGATATGGACCGGGAGGGGGACCCCACGCTGTTTTTTTCCCTTTAACATGCCATGTTTTTTATTCTGCACGCTACCTCGGAGGTAGTGAACAGAATAACCAACCGAATGATGTTTGGCGACATTCAGCTATTCACTCACTGCCGTTCTGCCCCAGATGTTGGATCAGCTGAGTCGAACGGCTTCTTCACTTCACATGCTGAGCATGTTCGGCAGCCGAAGACAAGCCGATGTACGGCTGAAAGTGAATAGCCAAACGGCGTTTGGTTCACTTCACTGTGGCTCGCTTTTTGAGTGAATAACCCCCTGAGTATATAAAACACATTAAATAGCTATTAAATGGTGTTATTGAATCTATCCTTTTTGAAGTATAATTTCTGGAACATCAAGATTTTGCACTCACATTAAAATATAAAACACTTAATTTTTTTTAGCAGTTCTAATAGCTTTCTTTATTAAACAAATAGGGAAAGAACATACTCTCTCTGCTGCTTTTAACACTTTACAATGACCTCACGAAGATGAGGGTCTATCAGGGGAACACAGGGGGACCTCAGTAGGAAGCCTTGATGTTCAGCTTTGGATGGAGAGCTGCTGTTGGGACCTTTCACTATTGATCACCTGAGTCTTTTTTTAAAAGTGACCAACACAGTAGGATCAATTAATTTTCATTTCATTTAAAGTAGATGTACACCGCAAATGAATGACATTTATCTTGTGCAAAAAAAAAAAAAAAAAATGTGTATCATAAACAGCTTCTATTTTTTATATAAAATGTTTTCTTTTTTTACCTTTTTCCATGTTTTGTAGTATCTCAATTATGCTGATCTCACGTAGCCTCTTTGCAGCCTGTCATGAGCTATCCCCTTATAATTGATTTGTAATTTATAATGTTTTCCCTTTGTAGGTTCATCCAATATGGTTACTGGTGAAACAAAAAGCTTCTTCAGCTTTGCTAAATCAGTAAGTGGCATTGCCTCATGGGTTACTAATCACGATTTTCCATTTAGCCATCGTATGTTGGACTGTATGCTTCAGAGGGATGAATGTATAAAGTGTTCTCAGAAGTGTTAAAAGCCTTAGTTCATAAAAACCTTGATGCATGATTAGGCTGGATGCATGCTCTAGAGATAATCAATGAAACACCAGGAAAGAAAAATATCTACGTTAGCCAAAGCAAGCAATGATATCTGTTTTCTTCTTTATTTATTTTAAAAGGACTCATCTGTTTGATTTGAGGATTTTCTAATGGTGTGTGCTCTCTAAGCATCCATTTAAGGTTTAAAAAGTCAAATTTTAAGAAATCCACTAAAAATATTGATCCACGTGACACTGGCTTTCTGAAGTTTTAAATATTCTACTAGTGCCTACATTGATGGAGTGTATGAAATGAGGACCCTACTCACAAGTAGCTCTCTACTTCTCCAATGGGATGCACATTCCCTGTTAGATTTGTGATCCCAGCAACATTATTTGACTCGTTGGAGGTGACGTATTGTTGCCACAGTTGCACTATGTTGCTAGAAAAGTTACTTGTTGTTCAAGAGGCTTTATAGAGGGGTTCCATCTTGCCTAGGGGTCTCTATGTATTGTTCAGGAAAGAAACTTTATTGAGGGAAGTACAATGTTGCTCTGAGCTGTGGTTACAATGCAAGTCTATGGGGCTGACTCATTCCATTCAAATAATACTCAGGGACTGGAAGCAGTCAGCTGATGGTAAGCTGGTGGGCTTGCATCAGTGTTTTTAAAGAGCTTTATGATGGCAGCATGGAGGTAAGCGTTATTAGCCTTTTGCAGTCCTCTTCAAAAAAGGAAAAAACGATTCCTTTAAGATAGTCGCTCATTTGGAGAAATTGAACCTTGGACTTCAGCAGGGTGCAGTGCTTACCAGTTATCCACTATACTGCACACACTGAATAAAACTACTCTTTAAAGTTACAGTTATTTTATTTTTTTCTAAGCCCACGGTGCGTGCAAACGAAAACCCAAAAGTGAACAAAAAAGTGAATGTGAAACACACTCAAAAAAGTGCACAAGGATGTGTCCAAATGGCCCATCTCCCAAAGAGAGAGGGCCCTTCCCTGACCCCTGAGGCTCAAGGCTCCTGACAAGGGCAAGGCACTTGTGTCCACCTGGCTTAAACCAGGCGGACTCATTCCTCATGGCCAGCCGAAGTTGGCTACTGAGTATTAGCCTGGGGGCTCTCCCAAAAAGAGAGACCCCCAGTTCAGAGGAGGAAGGTACCTGATGGCAACACAGCCTCCCCCTAGACTTCAGGGTAGACCCAAAGACCCACACCCTACATCCTCTGGGATAAAAAATAACACATAAAAAGTGGAAGTGCACAATACAGTGGAGAAAAAAATAAATAAGTGCCACTGTGCAGTACAATGGATAGGCTTTGCGGCCCTGCATAACAATTACCCCTGGATTCAGCCAGAAGAGGCAAGGTGCAGACAAAAGCAATAGGTGTTATGGCCATTGTGCCATTCACACTAGTGGGATCTCAAACCTATAAGTGCTACTCAGGCGCCCCCAGGACATCACCCCTGGGGGTGGGGGTCCCACTGCAGGCTCTCTGCCTTCCCAGGCCATGACCAGGCCAGGTAGTCAATAATGGCGCATATAATTTAGTCTATAAACCACTGACCTGTAATTCTATTTGCTCTCCATTACATGTGGCATTTAGAGAGATGTTTTTGAAGGTCTTGGAGATCCAGAGACATGAGGAAATGGCACAGGTCAATTGGTCTCTCAGATGGCTGACTTATTCTTTACACAGGGAACAATAGAAGAATAAGAGCACCACACCAAAGAATCTAGAGTCCAAGACTAGTCATCTGAACCTGATGTAGTTAACGTTTAGTATATTATGTCATGAATCATAATAAGCTTGAGTCTTGAAGTTTACATCTCAAGTCTGTTGCATTGTGACATATTACTACCAGACGACTTGTGGAAACTTTCTAGCAATGATGTAGCATGTCTTTTTCTTTTTCAGTGGTGGCAGGTTGAAAAAGTCAATCCCATTAAGTTATATGAAGAGAATAAAGTGATGGCAGGCTTCTCCCTCCTGAATTTACTCTTCAAGCAAGGACGAGCTGGAGTTATACGAGGAGTGGTAGATAAACTTCTCAGTTTGTTTAATCAGAAGAAGATCAAGCCCCTGGTGGATTCATTATGGGCCTTGGAAGAAGTATGATACATGTGTCTAGTCTAAATCTGAATTCTAATCCTTTAGAAATGTCTGCTTTTATGACTATGGTTATATAAGTAATTTTTTAGCATTTGATAGAAGATGAAAATTGGTTTCTGGTTTCTCTCAGGGTTTCCAGTGGTGCCCTTAGGTTTTCTAAAGTGCCGTGATACATATAAGCGGTCATGCTCTTTCTGTTGGATTTTTAATTTTTACATTGTGGAAAATAAAACTGGAGAGTGAATATCAATTTTGCTGAAGGTTTAGTAAGACTCAAAAGAAGATTAGAATAGTGCAAGGAACAATGATGCAAATATCAAACCGAGGATGTCCTCAACATAAATCATTAGATAGATGAAGCAGTCAGACTCTACCTATAACTGAAATATAACTTTATCATGGAATAGGAATAAAATACCCTTCCATGTTTTACACAGGCAGTCCTAAACCAAGAAAATAAAAAATAAAACAACAGAATTTTGGATGCACAGTGCTTGAAACCAGCTCCTTAGTGTCACCTATTCCATTTAATAAGGTGGAAGGGTGTTAGGCATTTTAAACACATCTTTTAACACACCCTCAAAAGACCATAACAACAAATGAAAGCTCACCATGCCAAGGGGGTCCATATTACTGGTGAGTTTACAGTTTACAAACAAATCTTAAACCAAGAAACAATGCAGCCGTTATTCACCTAGATATAGATGGTGTTGGACAAGCATAAAATAATATTACACATTTCCATAATTCTTGTGTCCTAGTGCAGCATTGTGTCACCAACCCTTTCAAAACTGCAAGACTAGCCCAACAATACATAGTTCAGGTTTCATTATTCTCATAACAATGGTCGCAATGTTCACATATTTATATTTTTGATGGAAAAATATGCTGCCATGGTGATCACCTAGTGACTCAATGGCAGCATACTGATGGGATATAAATAGCAACAAGAGGAAGGATGAAAAAACATTTTATTAGGTACTAGAAAGAGCACAGGAAACAGAAATGACCATCTTCTTAAACTTCCCCAAGGAGAGTTAGTAATGGGCAATAAAGATGCTAAAAGATGACCAGTTGGCTGCCCTACATATGGTTTCTGGAGGCACTTTGTTTGAGGTGACCTAGGAAGCAAAAACTCTCATAAGTAAGTGTGCCATAATTTCCTTGGGAATAGTTTATTCCTTAGCTCTGTAGGTTGCTCGATAGAACTGCAATAAAATGGATCTAGGTGGCTCTGCAGGTACCTCCCTGGTATAAACACAAGATATTGGCATCTTAATGTCTACATGAAAAGTAACCAGACAGCAGATGATGATGTGGGCAAAAGACTTTGGTGTCACCCACTCATTTCAATCACTTCAGAGGCTAGGTTGCATGTAGAAAAATGACACCTGCCTGGAACTGACAAATTTCTACAATAGACATTTGGCCCATATGGCTCACGTTTCATTTCTTTTTGATCAAGAGAGCCAACAGCTATGGCATGGCTGTTCAAAATTGGAACACCACCTTCGATTGACTTTAACAGACTGCAAAATCCTGATACCTTACTAAAGACTAGATCCGTATTATTGCTGCAAAAGAGGCGTTTCAAATGATTTGAGTACTGATTGCCCCATTCTTTTTTAGCATGGCAGTGTCAGTGAGACAAAGTCATAATCAACTTCAGGCACCGGGAGGCTGAAAGGACATCTGAGACCATGGTAGTATTTATCCATAATAGCCGGAATTGCTCTGGTTGTCAAAAAGGATGTTTTATACATACTGTATAGGTTGCAGTTAGCTTCCTAGTTTATCACCCACTTAAAGTCTCGGAGAACAAAAATGAGGGCCCATCTATGGAGCATTAAAATGTATACATCTCCTGCTTGAAGAAGAATATCATCCAGGTGGTAGAAACTTTTCTCTTACGGAAGAGTTATAATCCACTCTAAGATCTAATTTCTGGGCTAAGGATAGGAGGAATACAAATCAATTTTGAATAAAGGTTTTCAAATGAAAAAATTAAGAAACACCTAAACTATACACAAGTATGTAAAAGTAGGCATCTAAAAGAGCCACTGAAAATACCAAACTGACAAACTGTCTACCTTGTAACTTACCTTTACCGAGTCTGTTCAGAATTGGTGCTGTACATTCTTCATGTTTGTTTTACTTTGTATTGGTTACAGGTTAAGGAGGCAATGCAAAGAATCCATGACAGAGGCAACATTGGGAAACTTATTTTAGATGTGGAAAAGGCCCCAACTCCTCTGGTTAGTAAAACAAATTACTCTTACTAAATATCAGTATGTTAGGGTTTATCTAATTTACCTCTATGTTTATCTAGTCACCATTAAATGTTTGATATTTAAAAAAGTAAATTCCCATGTTTTGCAGGATCTACTTTATATTTCTTAATCCACACTGTAGCTAATTCCCTTATTTACATGTTTTCTTCATGTGAATGGTCAGGCATGAGGAGAGCAGTGTCTTTTCTACCTTTATTTTGAGGTTTTATTATTTCAAAAACCAAACAGGTCGTCAGTGTATATTTTATACAGAAACATATTTCTGATTGGTCACCCTGGCATGCCGTTTGCTCCCCCCAAGTACTTATTAGCCTTCTTTGGTGGCCCGTATAGCTGATCGTGGAACTGCATAGAAACAGCATACTGCCTCCAGTACAGCGTACTATCAGTATATCTTTATTAAAATAGTCACATGACGCAAAGATGGAGCTAGTGCATTAACAAATATATTCACTGGCCAATTTTGTTGGGTACACTTTGCTGTACACTTTGGCTTGGACCCGCTTTTGTCTTAAGCACTGCCTTATTCCTTCATGACATAGATTCAACAAGGTGCTGGAAACATTCCTTAAAGAGTTTGGTCCATACAGACATGATGGCATCACGCAATTGCTGCAGGTTTGTCGGCTGCACATCCATAATGGGAATCTCCTGTTCTAGCTCATCCCAGTGTTGCTCTATTGTATTGAGGTCTGGTGACTGTGGAGTCCATTTGAGTACAGAGCACTCAATATATGAATATCATCATGTTCAAGAGACCATTTAAACTATGCTCAGTTGGTACTTAGGGGCCCAAATTGTGCCAATAAAATATCCTCCACACCATTACACCACTACCACCAGCCTGAAGCGTTGATACAAGGCAGGATGGATCCATGCTTTCATGGTGTTTACCCCAAATTCTGACCCAACCATCCAAATGTCACAGCAGAAATCGAAACCCATTAGACCTGGCAACGTTTTTTCAATCTTCTATTGTCCAATTCTGGTGAGCCCTTATGAATTGTAGCCTCAGTTTCCTGTTCTTAGCTGACAGGAGTGGCATCCTGTGTGGTCTTCTGCTGCTGTAGCCCATCTGCTTCAATGTTCTACATGTTGTGCGTTCAGAGATGCTTTTCTGCATACCTCTGTTGTAACAAGTGGTTATTTAAGTTACTGTTGCCTTTCTATCAACTTGAACCATTCTCCCCCGACCTCTGAGATCAACAAGGCATTTTCTCCCTGCTGCTCACTGGATTTGTTCTCTTTTTCAGACCATTCTCTGTAAACCCGAGAGATGGTTGTTCATGAAAATCCCAGTAGATCCTGGGACAGCCTTTGAACAGCCTTTGAAATACTCAGACCTGCCCATCTGGCACCAACAGCCATGGTTTAGGACAGTTCTTCCCCATTCTGATGCTCATTTTGAACTTCCACAGATTGTCTTGACCATGTCTACATGCCTAAATGTATTGAGCTGCTGCCATTTTATTGGCTGATTAGATATTTGTGTTAACGAGCAGTTAAACAGGTGTACCTAATAAGGTGGCCACTGAGTGTATATGTCTGTATTAGTCTTGGTCCTCAGTCCTTGGAGCTTCCACTGGACTTCATCTCCTCACCCCTGCAGGCGAATGGAGTGATAGGAGAGAAAAGGGAAGATCAATATAAGGAAAGGGGGGAGGGATGGCATTGAAATAATGAACTAGTTGTTTTTGCCTTGCATAAGATGCACAAACATTTGTAAAAACACAGCAAAACCTCATCTTTAACGAGCAGTAACAGGTTAAGGTTTCAAACCACAAATTGCTTTTGCTTATGTGCAAAGCTACAAAAAATAAAATAAAGGAACAGCTCAGTAGAGGCCTTTCCTTGGAGCCAGTTATTTAATCTATCCTGACATGCTGACATGCAGTTTGATTTTTTTCGTCAGCGCTTCAGACAAAAGGCTCCTTTTATACAAATAATGATCTTGTGTTTAGTACAAATTTCACCCAGAAGCAATCTGAGCCATGCTGGCTTTTGGTTCTGTTACCGCACTGTGCTTATTACCTGTTCTACATAGCCCGACCATCACAGCGTTTTTATTTAGCAGCTTGTGAAACAATACCAGATTTATTGTGTTTGTTGAAAGAGTGATATTAAAGTAAATCTCTAGGCAGATATAAAAGTCTACTGTTTAGTCCAGGCATGAATTAATTAAAAAAATAATGCATGTATTTACATGTATTTTTACATACAGCTAGTCTAAGTATCTGAATATGTGTGGAGGAGGGAACACAGGGATGGCCTTATCAATGTGTTGCTACTCTTTAATTGTCCAATTATAGGGAGGGGGCAGTAATTCTTCTGCCACCTTCTTCTGGTCTTTCTTTGGATCCCGTTGCTTCTCTTTGACCACTGATGATGTAACTCCTGCGAATGCCATACAGGAGTTACATCATCCCAGCATCCAACTCCATCTAGACATGCTGATCTAGAGCATTTTTACATTTTCCTCCCTGGGCACCTGTGTAGGTTGTTTGTAGGTTGTTGGATCATTCCAACAGTTCTTATTACACTGTGTTTTGTTGCAGATGGCCAATGACAGTACAGAAAACAGCGAGGCAGGAGAGGAAGAAGAAGACCACGAGGGAGACACTGAAAATAAGGAAAGGATGCCATTCATTCAGTGATAGTTCCTGTGGCCAGCAGCAGATCTGAAAACTGGAAAGCGTTATCCTGCACATCAGAGAACAAACTTGCTGTAGTACAGTGTGTGTCGTATTTGTCTGCAGCGAGCTGAGCTACTGTATAAACTGTTGAACAATGTTGTGTCTAACTTGGCAGTAACTAGACTTACTTGGCAGCTTTTAGTAGGGTAGTATTGTTTCAAAATGGTGCGTGATACCTTAAAGTGGACCAGGCATTGTGATCTTAGTTATTTAAAAAACAAAATCCCCCGTTAACGTGAAAAAAAAGGTGTACCTGAATTGCTAGTGCTACTGTTCGGTCCACAACATGGACTGTATTCCCTGTGCTCAGCTATTTGCGAAGTTGACTATTTAAGTGGCCTCAGACTGCATAGAGAGTGATTATTACTAAATCTTCTTTCCTTAAAAACTTGTGTGGGCCTTCAAGTGCACAAACCAAAATGTCCGACCAGGAGGAAGGAGATGGATAGCAAAGTTTATCAAACATCCAGCATAATATATTCCCATTCTGGTGACTACTGGGAGATTATATGTGCCCATCTGGGACCCGCCTTATGTTACCAATAATCATGAGTACATAGTATTCTGCAAATTGTCCCTGACCAGTGCACAGTGGTATCTTGTGAATAGTCAACAGGAGAGAGGGGTGGACAAACAAAACTGCAGCTTCCATGTATGAGAGCCACGGCTCTCATAGCCGCTCTCCCTATACTTCCAGGCTCAATGAATGTGTACATATTACAGAAAGCCTAAACATTCTTAAAATGGCATACACCCTTTAGAAAACCTTTTAGACCAATTTGTATTTACACTGCAGATACAGAAAAAAAATCCTGGAGTTTAGCATTAATTAATTTGCATGGGAACACAGCCTAACAGTTCCCTAGCAACACAGCAGAAGTTTAGAGATCCGTGCCTGAGATGGTCTCAGTGTGTTGGTAGTAGGGATGCATCCATACCCGTTTTTCAGTATCGAGTATGAGTACCGATATATTTGTTTGGTTACTCGCCGATACCGATACCAGAAGTCCCATTAAGGAAGCTTCCTAAATGGCCGGGAAGCTGCTTCCATGCTGCCTTGTCTATATACTACTGTCGGTATCGGTGCATCCCTAGTTTGTAGTTCTTAATAAACTTCTATTTTAAACTTAATACAAACACGGCTGCCTTTATTTTGTGGATGTAGCAGAGGCATTTTATACCTCCTTTTTTCAAAAAACACATGCCAGAAATAAAGACTAAAAGCTGCCAATCAGCAAAACTGCCATCTGAACTTAAGTGCCAACCCTTTTTCAGTATTAATATGTTGTGTTTTGGTGCCATAAAATGACCCGCTGCACTCTTTTATAGTGAGTTTACCCTAGAAGAACCCAAGACACAGGAAAGTGCCCAGGGAATTATTCCCACTGAATGAACCGTATATCATTCACTCAAGTTAGATGATTAGATTTTCATTCCTCCATTTCATATTTTAAAGGTGTTTTTCCAGGCTAGATTACAATTTTACCAATGCATATACTCTCTAGAGCACATGTGTCAAACTCAAGGCCCAGGGGCCGAATCTGGCCCACCAGGCCATTTCCTAGACTTCTACTTTCAGATTTAAGTATTAAGTTATTACTAAAACCAGTGATAATCGAATGCAGAGGCAATTATGATACATATACATAGTCTTACAGGCCCATTGAGGGCAACCATAATGTTGATGCGGCCCACGATTAAATTGAGTTTGACACCCCTGCTCTAGAGGTTTCTGCCCCAGCGCCAAATATTTAAAGGGGTTGTGTAGTCACCAGAACTAGAGTCGGGTATACACGGGTAGATTTTTCCACAAAGAAAAATACCATCGGAACGTTTGATACTGGCATCGAAAACTTGTCGTGCCTAACATTGTTTAATTTTCTTTTTTATGTAACATTCTAGATGGAATGAACTGAATTTATGAATTATAAATTAATTTGATCGAGAAAAAAATTCCAACATGCTCCATCGAAAATTTACACCGTACTAATTGATATTCGAATAAACATTCCGAAAACGACTTCTTTCGTACAAAATTCTAACCGTGTATACCATACTTAACTCTGTAGCTAAAGGTTAAAAGTATAGTTAGAAATTTGTGTTTTGTTCACTTGTCTCTACTTTTCCACTTTTAACTTTGTTCTTTCTACCTGTCAATTACATTACTGCTAACTCCGGTAATTAAAAATCAAAAGAGAATGGTCACACACTGAGGTCTACCAGTAGTTGATGATCTGAAGTGAGATGCTCTAAGACCAGATTGCCTACTGCATCTTCATTCTGTGTTTGACACTCATTGAGAGCCCTATGATAAAATGCAACATAGTACTACAGTATGTATAAAAGCCAGTAATAATTTAAGTTCGACTGGTATTTCTGTTTATTCTTTTTTCATTCCTGACATTATGCTAAAACTTACAAGGTTATTCACAAAAGGTTGAAGAGTTTGGAGAAGGCAGAAGTGAACAAAATAGGCCAAAATAGCTGATTTGGAAAAATTCTCCAATTCAGCTCACTTTCTGGTTCAGCTATGTTGTCCTAGATTGTTCTCTTCTCCTGCCTTCTCCAAAATCTTCACCCTTTTGGGAATAACCCGGTAAGTGTCTGATAAAATCAGAAGATAAAGTTGTGTACTTCACGTTATGTTCACTGAAAGCATCATTTCGGCTGAATTGCTGGCTTTCATCTGTAGGTGGCACTGGCAGCAAAATCTGAAAATGCAGTTCTCAGTAAAACAGGGGAGGTGCTAAGAAGCATCAAGTAAATATTAATGTAGCCTGGAACACACCATTAAAAAAGCTGAAACCCAAAGTATGAGTGTTTGTGGACCATTATTAATTAATTCAGTATTCAGAAAGGATAGATAAAAGGCATAAACTGGTTTATGATGTTTTTAGATATCCTGCCAGTAGATACCTCATTTTATTCACATGCATTTGAAGCTAACAAGTTAAAGCTTTATTTTAATTGTTCGGTTATATTGGATTAGCTGCATAATTGGCTTGTATTTGATGGCATTTATGAGCTTTACGCCCTCTGTCCCTACTTTGACTTGTGTGAGTGAAGGGTTATGCCCACTTAGGAATGGATTAAGGAGACATTGGTTGAAAGAAAATAAACAAGACAAGTGCTAATATTCAGTATTAATATTTTGCAGAATTATGAATGTCTACCACCAGATTATTATATACCCTGCTTCTCCATATATCTAAATCCAGAGAAATATATTGCAGTGCTACAACAATGTCCAATCTACAAACAAAATTGGGCACACATCCACCTGGACAAAGATCTAAGATCACAAAGTTCATAACAATGTTCAGTCATCTTTGGGGGCCTTTTGTCTGCTCCATGATTCTTTATTAAACGTGCAGTCAAAATTGATTTTATGGCATAAATATATATATATATATATATAAATATATATATATATATATA